TTTTGTTTTGTTTTGATATGCCCAAATAGGCTGCTCGTGTGCACTAGTTTGATTTTTGACACCTTTGGATCTCTAACGTCTTGTCACCAGGTAGTTACTTCTGTAACTAAGTATGTGCACACAGGAGTCCATTAAATTTTCCTATACAGGTTCAGCTCAGGTGTTCAGGCAATCGATCACCAAGTGTGTGATGCAGGTTTTCACCCGCAGTCCTAGAGAGGCATGGGTGATTGGTGCAGGCACTGGACTCTGGCTGTGGTAGGGGATCGTACGCTGAGCCAGGCAGGGGGCTGACGGCTGCCCCTGAGAGTCTGAAAGGAAAGCGTGTCCCTGTTCTCTAGGGTGAGTAGGTAGGTGAGTTTTGCAGCCAGACTATGAGCACCCTACTCTGTTGGCTGTAAAGACTCGAGGGCACCACTTTTTCTTGGACTCATGTAGCAGGTGGCTAGGCACTTTAGGCGATTTCACCAGTCCTCAAGCCCCTGCTGCAGATTGATAGAAGTGCCTACTTAAGGGGCAGGGCTGTTTCAAGGGTCACAAATCTGCTAGTTCCTAGCTGAAGCAGTTGAATTTAAACTTCAGCTGTTTGCCCTGTTGTACTGTGGTAGTGAGGACTAATGCTTTTGAGATGGGTCCCCACAAGTCTATACAGGGGTGTAAGGCACTCAGAGTCTGCAGACCCCTGATACCTGTGCCTAGCAGAAGAGCTGTGCTGACCCTGTATTCCTGGCTTAGGGGAGACAGTAGCTTATTTGTTCCCTCTCCAAGGCCAGGGGAATGGGTCAGGGTGCCTTTTGGGATCTACTTCCAGCCCAGCGGACTCCCAGTGCGGAGCGCGGAGGGAGGAGGTGAAAGGGAGAGAGGTTTTTCCCAAATGGGCTTTGTTTTTGTTTTTGTTTTTTAATCCCTGCGAAGGGGTGCACACATGTACTTATCTTAGCCTCTTGGAGCTGCTTTTCACTGGTTTGGAGTGTCCAAGCAGAATCTCTGCTGCTGGGTCTCTCTCGATGTGGAAACTGCTTCCCAAGCACACGCATAGCACAGCTGTTTGCCTGCTTCACTGCAGACTGTTTCACCTCCGCGGCTCTGGTGCTGTTCACTTCTTCCAAAGCATCTGCCTGTCTCCTATCACTCAGACGGATTCCCAACTTTGCCTTGTTCAGGGCTCCTAGATATTCATATAGAATCAAATCACTTGTTTTTCCAGGTCTTTGTTGTAGGAGGGATATAGGAAGCGTCTAACTGCTCCGCCATGTTGGCCACGCCTCCTGAAGGTTCTCTTTCATCACTGTTCTTTATCATTATGTAGTAGTCCATTGTGTGAATATACCATAATTTGTGCATCCATTCGTCCGTTGATGGACACCTAGGTTGCTTCCATCTTTTTGCTATCGCGAACAGTGCTGCAATGAACATGGGTGTGCATATATCTATTTGTGTGATGGCCCTTATTTCCCTAGGATATATTCCAAGAGTGGGATTGCTGAATCATATGGTAACTCTGTTTCTAGCTTTTTAAGGAGGCGACAAATCGATTTCCAAAGTGGTTGTACCATTTTACATTCCTGCCAACAGTGTATAAGTGTTCCAGTCTCTCCACAACCTCTCCAACATTTGTTGGGGTGAGATGGTATCTCATTGTAGTTTTGATTTGCATTTCTCTAGTGGCAAATGATCATGAGCATTTCCTCAGGTGTCTGGTAACCACTTGAATGTCTTCTTTGGAAAAGTGCCTGTTCATATCCTGTGCCCATTTTTAGTTGGGTTATTTGTCTTTTTGTTGTTGAGGTTTTGCAGTAACTTGTAGACTTTAGAGATTAGACACTTACCAGATTTGTCATAGCCAGAATTTTTTTCCCAGTCTGTAGGTTGTCTTTTGACTCTTTTGTTGAAGTCTTTTGATGAGCATAAGTGTTTGATTTTTAGGAGCTCCCAGTTATCTAGTTTCTCTTCTGGTGTTTGTGCATTTGTTACTTATGGTTTGTATTCTGTTTATGCCATGTATTAGGGCTCCTAGCATTGTCCCTATTTTTTCTTCCATCATCTTTATTGTCTTAGATTTTATATTTACGTCTTTGATCCATTGTGAGTTAGTTTATGTGCAGCGTATGAGGTATGGTTCTTGTTTCATTGTTTTGCAGATGGATATCCAGTTATGCGCACCATTTGTTAAAGACACTGTCTTTTCCCCAGTTAACAGACTTTGGGCCTTTGTCAAATATCAGCTTCTCATAGGTGAATGACTTTATGTCTGGATTCTCAATTCTGTTCCATTGGTCTATGTATCTGTTGTTGTACCAGTACCAGGCTGTTTTGACTACCATGGTGGTATAATAGATTCTAAAATCAGGTAGTGTGAGGCCTCCCACTTTGTTCTTCTTCTTCAGTAATGCTTTACTTATCTGGGGCCTCTTCCCTTTCCATATGATGTTGGTGATTTGTTTCTCCATCTCATTAAAAAATGCCATTGGAATATGGATTGGGATTGCATTCTATCTGTAGATCACTTTGGGTAGAATTGACATTTTCACAGTGTTGAGTCTTCCTGTCCATGAGCAAGGTATATTTTTCCACTTATGAAGGTCTCTTTCAGTTTCTTGCAGTAGTGTCTTGTAATTTTCTCTGTAAAGATCTTTTACATCTCTGGTTAGATTTATTCCTAAGTATTTTATCTTCTTGGGGGCTATTGTAAATGGTATTGATTCGGTGATTTCCTCTTGGAAGTTCTTTTTGTTGGTATAGCGGCATCTAACTGATCTTTGTATGTTTATCTTATATCCTGAAACTTTGCTGAAAGCTTCTATTAGTTCCAGTAGTTTTCTTGTGGATTCTTTGGGGTTTTCTGTGTATAAGATCATATCATCTGCAAATAGAGATACTTTGACTTCTTCCCTACCAATCTGGATGCCCTTTATTTCTTTTTCTAGCCTAATTGCTCTGGCTAGGACCTCCAGCACAATGTTGAATAAGAGTGGTGATAAAGGGCATTCTTGTGTGGTTCCCATTCTCAAGGGGAATGCTTTCCGACTGTCTCCATGTAGGATGATGTTGGCTGTTGGCTTTGTATAAATGCCCTTAATTATACTGAGGAATTTCCCTTCTATTCCTATTTTGTTGAGAGTTTTTATCATGATTGGGTATTGGACTTTGTCGAATGCCTTTTCTGCATCGATTGATAAGATCATGTGGTTCTTGTCTTTTGTTTTATTCATGTGATAGATTACATTGATTGTTTTCTTTGCCTCATTCTTATAAGGACACTTGTCATTGGATTTAGGGCCCACTTGGATAATCCAGGAGAAGCTCCTCCTCTCAAAATCCTTAATCACACCTTTGTCATTTACAGTAATATTCACAAATTACAGGGATTAGAACATGGACATAGATTTTGAGGGTCACTGTTCAGCCTACTATGCCAAAAATAATGTTACTCTTTCATCTTATCACCTCTCTGGCCCCAGGAATAGAATCAGGTCAAATGTAGCCCCTTCTTAGACTAAAAAGTTTATTCGCAAGGATATTGGTTTGTTTTGTTTTCTTTGCAAGTATATAAATCAAATGCGATGTAACCAAATGTCTCTTAAAACCAGCCTCTGTCTCTCCCAGTCAGGTACAACCGCCCTGTTCTTTGCTGCCCAGCAAGGCCGTAATGACATCGTGCGATTTCTCTTTGAATTTGGAGCATCCACTGAATTTAGGACCAAAGTAAGAGAACCTTCTTGAATTCATACCCTGTTGAAGAATTTTAATGACCGTGGGTATTAGTTTTTCTTCATCTATAATACGAATTTGTGCTTCTCTTTTTATAAGATTTTCATGCCTAAGAGGGTAGATTTTGCAAGGTTTCTTGTTCAGAGATTGATCCTAGGACTTGCAAACATTACATTTTTACACTGGGCTCAGAATTGGAGAATTTCGTGGGGGAATTACTTAGATTCTTCTGCACTGGTGGCTTTCTACTCTGGGACACTACAGTTTGTAACCAGAAGGGGTACAGTTGTAGGTGTCTTTATAAATTTCTGTGTTTCCATGTTATTTTATGATGGGAATTGTGAAGAGTTTTAAGGTGATCCTCATGAATCTGAGAGATTTCTAAGAAAGGTGATTTGGCATGTAGTTTACTTTCATGAGCTGTCCTCATTGAACTGTGCAATACAATTAGAGTTTGTATAGTTGGGCAATGAGTTGTGGTTCTTCATTTAAAGAAATATTGTTTTTTCAGGTTTGCATATGGGTCAAAAATCCAAGTCTGCAGAAAGATCAATTTTGTGTTCAATATGCTTTTATATGTTAAGATTTTTGTAGGAACAGAATTTGAAGTGCTGTAAGATTTTTTTAATTGTCAGCTTATGTCTTATAATTTTGAAGGAGCCTTAGTGGCTCAGTGGTTAAGTGCCGGCTACTAACCAAAATGTCATAGGTTCAAACCCACCACCTGCTCCATGGGTGAAAGATGTTGCAGTCTCCTTCCATAAAGGTTACAGCCTTGAAAACCCTATGGGGCAGTTCTACTCTGTCCTGTAGGGTCACTACGAGTCAGAATCAACTTGACAGCAATGGGATTAGGTTTTGGGGGGTTTTTTAATCATAATTTTAAAATTCCTGAAAATTTGTCCCAGTTTCCTAATTGGAAACTTTTAGGTTTTCTTAATCCATTAGCATGTGATATTTAGATATCAGGGGAGCTTTCAGGGTTTTTTTTTCTCACCCCTATTAAAATGTTAACTATTAAGCAGATCTGAATTTCAGAAGGGATTTCTGTCTTTTCTGAAGCCTGCTTTGGGACTGTGTGCATGGCTTCCAGCATACTCAATAGAATATACAGCAGATACAAAACATATGTACATAATATATATTTTATATTAGTTATCATTTTATTTTTTGTTCTAAAATAGATACAACTAAAAATAGAAAGTAAAATTGTAAGACCTAAGTGTTAACTCTTTCAACTAAGTAAAAATGATTGTGTGTGACCATCTTGTTGCTTAAATCTTCTTGGTTAACAAGTTACTGCTGACCTCAAGCCTTTGTACATTAGTCAGTTTGTGCTGCCCCAGAAATCCATGTAACTTGGGGCCAGGGTGGGAAATTCCACATGTTTCCATTAGGCCAACTGCAGGTGTCTAAGAGCTTTCCATGGGAAAAGAGTGTGTCAGGTGGCTTTGAATTTTAATGTGATCCCATCATCAAAACTCACTTTGTTTCAACAGTTGTTCTCATTGTTATTAAATCTGTATGCCCCAGAACTGTGTTTGTAAAAATAAAAGGTATCAGCTCTCCTATGATAATCATCACATTTTATCTATTCTGTGACTTCATTAAGCAGTGAGCTGGAAAATGAAAGAACAAAACTTGGAAACGGTGGTGTTCGTTGAGGCTCCTAAGCAATTTTTTGATGCCCAGCCCTGGCCCCCACCAGCCTCAGCCTTCTAGTCTCTCTCCATTCCCCACCTTTCAAAGCCTAGCTCCCCCACCACACAGCTCAATTCTCAGTGAAGCCTCACCCAGCCAGTCTCATCCCCCAAGATTTTACCTGCATGTGAACACAAGAGCTTCTCCAAACAAGGCCCACTTGCCACCCGCGTATCACAGTCACCCCTCATGACTGGTCAAAGGCATGTTTCTGACCTCACCTCAGCCTACCGAATCAGACCCTCGAGGGTTGGGCTCTGAGGGTAGGCATCTTAAACAAACACCTTTGTCAAGGTTTAGAAACCACACTAATGTATATTTATGATTTGTGTCTTAGGACCAGATTACGTGTTTTTCTATTATTTATCATTACCTCCAGTGTCCACATATGAATTCACAGAGCCAAACTAGCAACTCAGTAAACCTAGATGAGAAAAGATAAGCCTTAGTTGCAGCACTTGAGGAAGACCATTAAGGGTTTTAGTTGACCTCAAACTCTGACTCAGTAGTGTGATGTGGTTGATATAAAAGCTAATTCTGACTTAGGCCACATAAAAGTAGAGTAGATGAACAAAGTGAAGTTCCTGGCCCACATCAGACCACATCTGTTTTACAGGCTATGTTTAATTCTAGGCCTGCACTTAAAAAGAGGCCTGGACAAATTGGTACATGTTCAGAGGCAAATGCTAAGTAGTATGGTGAGAGTCACATGAAATGTGGTGTATTTATGCATGCTTTTAATGGATGTAGATCTTACCCATAAGAGCCATGGCCCAGAGGGTTACCCCATAAGAGCACCTTCATTTCTGTGGCCCGTGGTTGGGCAGAACTGCAGGGAGAAGCCCACATTTGTCAAGAAGGTCTCTGGCCAGAAGCCACAAGAGGCTGTTCTGGTCATTCCAAGATGAAACTGATTGATTCAGACTTTCTGTTCTTTGATTTCCTTACTGAAAAGCAAATAGATGTTTCTGCATTTGGCATAGGAGATTTTTAAATTAATCATAATAACTTAGTCAAATAATTATAATGTATCTCTAGCAAGCCATCCAAGTGAACTCCATAATGATATTCTTAAGATGAACTGTGTCACGATTACAAAGAAAAAGTAAAAGGAATAAAGTAGAAACACGAGCTTGTTATTGTCTATGGGAAAATTATTTTCTAGAGTGCTTGCTGCGTGCGGAGTATCTGCTTGGTGCCTTTGCCTCCCCAGTTTCTAATGTGTGTACACTTCCCATGTTGATAGGACGGGGGCACCGCCCTGCTGGCCGCCAGTCAGTATGGGCACATGCAGGTGGTGGAGACACTGCTGAAGCACGGAGCCAACATCCATGACCAACTTTATGTGAGTGCGTTTCAAGGGGGCATCAGGTGGACCCCCACTGCTTCCCTCATCACAAATAACATCAGCAGTCTGAACTCAGATGCCAGAAATGCCAACTTCAAAAAGAGTTTAATGAACATTAGGACTTGAATCTGAGACATCAAGAAAAAAAGATACAGTTGACCAGCTGAACTTTTTATGTATAGAAACCATATAATCTTATTCATGAACCTGTTCTGCCTTTTTACATCTGTTGTACAAATGAGACATGTCATATAGTTATATAAGTACAATCTTCAAAACTCATAAGATACATATTCAGATGTTCATACCATGTCAAACTATGCAGCTTAGCATATGGACTTGCTGAAAACCAAAATAAATTCTACCATTGTAGAGTTATTTGTGAGGGCAGACACAAAGAAGAGAAAACAGGTATTTGGAAGAGAAATGAGTTTGGGCGAAGGCTGACTTGTGAAACCCTGCACAGCACTGACCTTTGACAGGCATCCACTGCTGGTGCAGGTCTGTTTGCAGCTTACTGGCAATTAGCACATGACCCAAGGGCTCTTTTAATTGTTTGTCACTGTGATTCTGTGGGGTTTATGGCAGGTGGTGTTCCTGTTTTATGAGCAGATGAAAGGATTTGATGTGTCTCATGGTGAAGAGTGGAAGAATGTCTATTTCCACTTATCTGTGAACCATATTTTAGGCTCTCCTACAACTAGAGATGTAGTCCTTATGCCGAGAGCACTATACTTTCATAGATGAGTAATGAGATGTGTAGGTATGAACTTTTTCACTTGAACACCCTTCGCAGAGTGGACATGGTTAACTCTGACAAGTCATGGGCCTCTTTGAAGTACTGAGCAACTAGCCTTACCCTTTGTACTATAAAATCTGTAACACTCTTTGAGGCTGTAGGGATTACTAGTGAATGATTGAATTACTTGATAATGGTGTAAAAGAGTGACTCTCAAATCTGGCCGCCCAAATCACCTGGGATCTTTAAAAATGTACCAATTCCCAGGCCTGCTCAGTCCCACAAACCCGGACTCTCTAAGGGCCGAGCTTGGGCAACAGGTGGTTCTGACATGTGACCAAGTCTGAGAATTTTCTAGGTCAAAGCTTTGGATATTCTCTGACTATAGGTAAAATATATGTGAGAGTGTGTTTGAGTATGTGTATGTGTAAGCTGAGTAGAAAGAGCCAGAGTCTTTGGAAAAGGCAAGTGAATTGTGATGGTCATAGCATTATCATTAGCAGTCATCAACCCAAATTGACTGTGGGTATAGAGTTTGTAGTTGTTAGATAATATTCTTACATAAGGCTGGCACATAATCCTAGGAGGGGAGAGTTTTGGGAAATCCCATTCCTTTAGTAAATTCCTCTCTGTTATAAGGTAACTCAAGAAATTTTCATATACCATAACTTCCATTGTGCATTAAGATCTTTACCCTTACCCAAACAGTCCAAATGTTTCCATTAAGAATAGTTGAAATATAGAGGGAAAATGGTCAACGATTCCTAAAAACTTCTAGGAACTGAAGCTTGTAATGCACAGAGAAAAGTCGAATGTGTGGATAGTCCATTTTAGAAAATTTCTGAGAGTTACCAGTTGCTACTGGCATGATAGGCCTTCTGTAATAGCATATTGGGGAGCAGCTGAAATTTTTATCCCCATATCAGGCATCTGCTTAAAAATCTGTACAGGCCGATTAATTTTTTCATGATTTCCTTGAGGGAATTCTGGCAGCTCACTGACATCCACTGAAAATCAGGACCCTCCTGCCTGGTTGGACTTGTAGGGAAGGGTGTCTTGTATTTTAACTTGTGGTTAGCATTCCTGATGGGAGGTGTGGTAATTAGCTGGGTTAACTAGGGGTTTTCCACCAGCATGTGCTTGGGTTTCCCACTGTGATATAAAAATAATAAAGCTCACTGTGTACTGTGAATGCATCTGTGTCAGGGAGCATCTGGGGCGAAGGCATGCTATCAACTGCCAACGAATTTGCTAGAATTACCTAGTGACACTTCAAGAAAACAGAAATGCCCAGAAGACATAAACACCCTAGTTATAAAGAAAACCAAAGAAAATTGGAAATGAGTGCTTGCTTCGGGCTTGTTGTTTCTGTCTTCTGGGCTAGCAGGGAGCAAATTCATGGGGATTCTTAGTAGGATCATTTTTCTGAAAGCACCTTGTGTTTTAATGCTTGGAGAAGCAACATGTGGGGTGGATGCGGATAGGGAGGCAAGAAAGAGAAAGGGGTAGGAAAGATCTAATTAAAAGGACACTTTTTGCTCCCTCTTCCTAAAAGTGAGACATTTGGGGAATTTTTTGTTTTTTAAGTAACACTTAGCTCTCTTAATAGGTAAAAGGATGGAAATAGAAAAGGGGATGAGAATAGAAAATTGTGTTAAACATATATATTTTTCAAATCGACTGTGTTTTCAAGTAAACATGAAGGATGATTTTTTTATACTACTTTTAATTTGATATCTCTCAGGATGGAGCCACTGCACTCTTCCTGGCTGCCCAAGGTGGTTACTTGAATGTCATTCGATTACTGTTGTCTTCAGGAGCAAAAGTCAACCAGCCAAGGCAGGTAATGCCCATTGCCAATGTTTGCTCCAGTGCACAGAGCAGTGATGCAAGGGAGGGCCAGGTTTCCCATACCTGCACACACTTGAGATAACCAGATAGCAACCCTTTTGTTTCTGTAATGAAAAGTTAACCTTTGATTAGGATTTCTCCTTGTAAACATGGTGTGGAGGCTGCATCTGACCTCCTGTAACTTCAGAGAGGGAAGAAGAATCAAGATCAACAGTCCAAGGCTAATTCCCAAGGAGGTCAGACATGCCTCCTCTCTCTGCCATCTTTACCAATTCTGACACCAGTCGTCCCTCCCATGGCACTTCTACTTCTCTGCTGGGTTCGATAATTCATTGCAGTGGCCGCACAACTCAAAGACAATACTCATGATTATGGGGTTTATTAGGGAAGTAACAGGTTACAGTTCTCTCTCTCTCTCTCTCTTTCTCTCACTCACTCTCTCTCACAATTATAACACTGCTGAGACTTCATTTACCAACAACAAGATAACATCTGGCAAATTAATTGATGTTTAAAGGAACAGAACTTCATGGTAATACAGGCACTGCTTTATGAATGATAAAGAACCACCAGATGTAAGGCATTATAATTATCAGTACCAGTGCCAGTTGCCTTAGAGTCGATTCTCACTCGTAGTTACCCCTGTGTGTCATGGTAGAGCTGTGCTCCCAGTGGCTGATTTTTTAGAAGTATTCCAAGGCACCTCTGGGTGAACTTGAACATCCAACCTTTTGGTTAGTAGCCAAGCACATTAAGGCATTATAATTAGATTCTCTTACATAGGAACTGGAGCCCCAGCACAGTGGTTAAGAGCTATGGCTGCTAACCAAAAGGTCGGCAATTCGAGTCCACCAGCCACTCCTTGGAAACCCTATGGGGCAGTTCTACTCTGTTATATAGGGTCACTGTGAGTCAGAACCGACTCGACGGCAGTGGGTTTGGTTTTTCAGGGGGTCTATATATATAGGAACTGGAGTCCTGGTAGCACAGTGGTTAAGAGCTCAGCTGCTAACCAGAAGTCGGCAGTTCAAATCCACCAGCGGTTCCTTGGAAACCCTATGGGACAGTTGTCCTCTGTCCTGTAAGGTTGCTATGAGTTGGAATCAACTGTGGGTTTGTTGTAGGAAAGAACTAGTTCTGCCCTAAATAATTTGTTTTTAACAATACATATCAGTTTAAGGTAACATTACTATAAAAGTAGTTTGCTAGGGAAAAGTCTGGCTGATTTCTTACAGTAGACGACACCCAGGCAGATTTCCACTGTAATATGACTGTAAAAACAGCTTGGAGGAGGTATCTGACCTCCTCTAACCCCACAAGGGGGAAGGAGAACCAAGATCAACAGTGCAAGGCTGACGCCCGTGAGGGTGGAAATCAGACACGCCTCCTCTCTCTGCCATCTCTACCATTTCTGACACCATCTGTCCCTCCCACAGCACTCTCCGTTGGGTTCAATAATTCATTGCAGTGGCCACACAGAGCTCACAGGCCGTACTCACAATTATGGGGTTTATTAGGGAAGTAGCAGTTACAATTCAGGCTCAAGAATACTTAGGGTATAGTTCTTCCCTCAGGACAGCTTCTTCCCAGCCATGCTCACAGGCACGCCTCTCCCTGGCCCTCAGTCTCTGCCCAGAGGCACTCCGCTTTCTCTCTTCATGGGCTGGGAAGCCCACTGTGCTGTCTCCTGCTGCCGGATCTCTCCTTCTTTGGTGGTGGTGGGCTCCTCCCCTCTGCTCTGGAATTGGCTCTCTTTTAAGGCAAAACTGAGCAATCCCCTTGGTAGGCCACAATTAACCTGTCACACAGTCACCTGGGAAGGAGTTACAAGACCATGAGTAGAAAGGCCACGCCCAAAAGGAATTAACCCACAGCAGTGACATATATGGGAATGCCCGTGCATTCATATAATGAGTAGCTGTGAGAACCGTGGAGCCCTGGTGGCACAGTGTTAAAGAGCTCGGCTGCTACCCAAAAGGTCGACAGTTCGTATCCATCAGCTGCTACTTGGAAACCCTATGGGGCAATTCTCTGTCCTGTAGGGTTGCTGAGTCAGATTCCACTCAATGGCAACGGATTTGGTTTGGTTTTATGAGAACTTTTAAGATTGGTCTGAGCTCATGACCACAGGCTTCTTCAGTCTTTAAAAGCCCTAGTGTGTAAAGGCACTAAAGAGCCTTTGGACATAGTAGATTTGAGATCAGTAATCCTGAGTTCTAGATCCAACTCTGCCATTAACTAGCTGTGTGGTTTTGAACAAGTGAAGTAGCATCTCTGGACCTTTCTTCTGTCGTCTGCAAATTAGGAGGCAGGGCAAGATGATCCAGATGATCTCGTGTAGCTCCAAATTTTTTATAATTATTTTCTTCAACATTCAGTCAGTATTTCTTGAGCGCTTATCATGTGCCAGACACTGCTATGAGTGTAAGATTGCATTTTTAGAACTTTAAGATATTCGTAGGTTAGGTGGCCCGGGGATCCTCCTGGGAGAGAAAGCAGTTTAGATAAAGTTGCACTCCCATAACTGCCAGAGTTGACATTTGCAAATTGGAGTTTAATAGTTTCTTGTTGGTCCTTCTTATCTCGAAATTGTTAATTGATTCTGAATAAGAAATCTCATTTTACCAAAATTAGTTTAAAACAATTGGTTAGTTTTAGATTGCATAAGTTTGATTTGAAGACCATTATTGAAGGTACTTGTGTGAACTTAGAAATGAGAAAGACCTGTCAGATTATCAAGTCTCTCTATCAGTACATTCTTCCAGGATAATTTCTGGCACTTTGACAGATCTGTTGTTGTTAGGTGCCGTTGAATCAGTTCCGACTCATAGTGACCCTATAGGACAGAGTAGAGCTGCCCCATAGAGTTTCCAAGGAGCAGTTGGTTGATTTGAACTGCAGACCTTTTGGTTAGCAGCAAAGCTCTTGACTACTGTGCCACTAGGGCTCCTTGACAGATCTAGTTGTAAAATATTTTCTGTTATTCATTTGCCTAAGGTTACTATTCATATGCCTTTTTAGAAAAGCAAGTTGATATAAAAGATTATTTTCACATGTTGCATGGATTGTGTCCCTGATGTCTAAACTAAGTTTGCATGGATTGTGCCCACTGAAATCTAAACTGAGTCATGTGATGATGTTTAAGTCAGGAAGTTAAAGAGTAATCCAACATTTTAGTGGTAGCCAGAACACACCAAAGCTGTTTTTCATTCCTCAAGAGTGAGGTTACCCTGGTCAAAGGGAATGCAGTCTGTATGAGGATCCATCTTCAGGTCAAGTAACATGTGATATGCTCTTCCAAGGACTATATATAATGCAGTTGTTTTCAATCATAAGAGCCCAGTTCTGAGAAGATTGTTATTCAGGAAAAGGGTGTTTTATAAAATAAGAATTGCATTTGGGGAAAAAAAAAAAAAACTAATAGAATTTTTCCTTTTTATAGAGTATACTAACCCCATTACTCCCACAAATCATATTCATTTTTACTGCCAGCTGTGAGCTTATAATTAGAGGCTGTTATCCAGTCGAGGCAGATTAGCAAGGTTCTCCTGTCCTCTTTGAAAGAGTAATCTCTACAAATTTAATTCTGTTCCAAGAAAATAAGTAGTTTTGTGTGGCAAAAGTGATACCAGGTCTAGTGGATTTTGTCTCAAGTTAGGAGGAGATTTAAAAAAAAAGTAAAGTGTAATTAAAAGTTTCAGTTAAAATGGCCTGTGCATGCCAGAATATTATGTAGGTAAGGCATTTTGCTCTGAAATCTCAGCTGACACATTGAGTCCTTGTTAGAAAGCTCTTGAATTCATAAAATATGGACACCAATATTTGCCTGATTTAATTTCTTAATATTTTAGGTAAGCCTGATTTATAACTTTTGCATTGCCTTCCTAAGGAGTCCTGACATCTTGGGGCACACTGTGATAGGATGTTAATAAGGTTGCGTTGAGATTAGCTGGCATTTTGCGGAGCTGCAGGGAATCTGAACTGCAGTGTTGTTGTTGTTATTCATTGTCCAGCTTTCACATGCATGTGAGGCATGCAAAATATTATGAAAACATCATGGCTTGGGTCAGGCACACCTTAGTCCTCTAAGTGACATCTTTGCTTTTCAACACTTTAAAGAAGTCTTTTGCAGCAGATTGGCCCAGCGCAATATGCTGATTGGTTTCTTGACTGCTGCTTCCATGGGCATTGATTGTGGATCCAAGTAAAATGAAATCTTTGACGACTTCAATATTTTTGCCATTTATCATGATGTTGCTTACTGGTCCAGTTGTGAGGATTTTTGTCTCTTTATGTTGAGGTGTAATCCATACTGAAGGCTGTGGTCCTTGATCTTCATCAGTAAGTGCTTCAAGTCCTCTTCATTTTCAGCAGCCTAGGTTGTGTCATCTGCATATCGAAGGTTGTTAATGGGTCTTGCTCCAATCCTGATGCCGCATTCTTCTTCATATAGTCCAGTTTCTCAGATTATTTGCTCAGCATACAGACTGAATAAGTATAGTGAAAGGGTACAGCCCTGACACACACCTTTTCTTATTTTAAACCACACAGTATCCCCTTGTTCTGTTTGAATGACTGTCTCTTGGTGTATGTACGGGTTCTGCATGAGCACAGTTAAATGTTCTGGAATTCCCGTTCTTCACATAATTATCCATAATTGTTATGATCCACATAGTTGAATGCCTTTGCATAGTCAATGAAATACAATAAAATAAAAAACATCTTCCTGGTATTCTCTGCTTTCAGCCAAGATCCATCTGACATTAACGATGATATCCATCATTTCATATCCTCTTGTGAATCTGGCTTGAATTTTAGTTAATCTTTTGGATTTCTAGTTGCTGTTTTTGTATGGTTACTAATAGTCTATTTATTCTGTCATTTTGTTTTCCTGAATTCCTCTATTGCTTTGTCTGTGTTTTCCTTGGTTTTGTCTATGTTTTCTCTGATCTCTTTCTTGATCTCTTGGAGAGCTCTGTGTATTAGTCTTTT